GTCGGGAGGTCACCTTGGACTTGTGTGGAGCCTGCAGTGCTGGGAAGGGCAGCGTCTCCTCCTCAGACGCCCGGCGGGCAGGCAGCCCAGCCTCGGGGAGGCAGCCTTCTTCCCTCTGGGCCTTGGAGTGAGGGCTGCCACCACCTCCCGCCCTGGGTGCGGCCTCTTCCCAGCAGTGTGGCTCTTAGGGTCTCCCCAGACTCAGTTTCCCCATCTGTAAAGGGCGGCAGGTGCTGGGCTCTGAGGCTTCCAAACAGTGGCCTCCACTGAAGGTCACCGGACCTCCCCTTGCGGCTGTGCTGGTGGCTGGGCCTGGGCCCTTCTTCCCGGGAGCAGGCGGCTGCTGGCGGTGCTCAGCCTGGGCCCACGCAGCCAAAGCTCTCTGGGCCGCGTGGGTCTTAGTAAGATCCACGGCGAGCTTTTCCTCTCCAGCATGTTAATCAGGACACGTGGTGGCAAACACAATCGAACAGAGTGGACGTGGACAGAGGCCCAGCATCCCACCTGGTTTCAGGCCTTCGCCAGGCTTCTCCCTGCCCAGCAGGGGGCGCCCTCCGTCTGCCTGCGGCGTCCTGGGCCTCACAGGAACCTGGGGTCTTGGCACCAGAGCAGGTGGAGGGATGCGCGGAAAATCCGCTGCCAGGCGTGCTGTGATTGATCAGTGATGCCTGGCACAGCCCCGGAGGGAAGCCCGGAAGCCTCAGGAGCACCTGCACCTACCCTGGGAGTGGTCTGCCCAGTGCCCCCTGTGCACACTGCCTGCCTCACAGCGAGCCCCCGCCTGGGGCTCCTGCCAGCACAGGCGGCTCTACCGCACAGCTGGATGTCTCCTTTCAGTCCAGGCTGAGCCCCAACGTCTCCCCAGACGTTGGAACTTCAAATGGAAGTCAGAGCTCGCAGGGCTCACTGGAGTGAGCAGCCCGTCCGGCCTGGCTCCTTAGACCCTCAGCCAACAGGAGTCTGGGCAGACGCTCCTCCAACAGGCGGCCCCACCCTTTTCCTTGCACGGTCTCCAGGTCTCAGCGTGGCCCCTGGGAACTGCTGGGGACAGGGACCGAGGCCCCCACTGCTCTCCTCTCCTCTCCTCTGCCCAGGAAGATGCTGAGAGCAGAGCATAAGCAGCTTGGGCACATGCCAGCTTAAAACCTCTTCCTACTCAAGACTAACCCAGCAAGAGCTTCCTACGCCGTGGAGCCCACTCCAGCCAGGGCGCCTCAGGGCATCTAACCCGGCCCAGCGCTGGGCGCCTCGCCTCCCTCCCGGCACTTCCCGTGGGGACCCACCTGCTGCACGCTGCCCAGTGGGGACAGCTCCCGTCCTCCCAAATGGCGAAGCCGGTGCCCAGCAAGGACCACCCGCAGGACTCCTCAGGAGCACAGAGAGCCTGACCCACGCCTCTGGGAAATTAGGACAAGGACAAAGGAACATGCCAACCTTCTTACCAGGACAAACCTGTTTTCACACGAGGGTCCGGAGCCTTTTCTAGGCCCTTCCCTTCAGTGCTGGGGCACGCCGACGGCCCAGCAGTCCCCGGGGATGCCCAGGGCCCTGGAGGCAGCCGCCGGGCCCAGGCAGGGAGTCTGCTCTGCCCTTGGGGCGCCCGGTCTGACACTGTCCTCTGCTTCAGCCGAGCGCTTGCCTAACCAGGGCCAGAACCAGGCTGCCTTCCGAGGCCTTCCGCACCAGAGCTGACCTCCGGCGCCCTCCCCACCGCCTCCTTCAGCTCCCAGCGCCGGTCCAAAGGGTGCCCGGGACACATCGCTTCCTTCCTTCCAAAGCTCGGCCATCCCTTGCCCAAGCACTGCTGCAGCCACGAGCCACGCCAGCTCCCCACACACTTCCCTTTGCCTCCTGCTCCCCATGGGTACACTCCACCAGTGAACAAACTTAAGTTCAAAAAGGAATCATTTCCCACACAAAACTAAGATTTCAATGTAAACTTTACTATTTTATTTGTGAAAAAACTACAAGCAGAATTCATAAATAGACATTTCTATTTAAAGCAGGAAAATGATAAAGTGGCTTCTAATAACACAGTCGTGCACATGCCAGCAACAGGAATATATTAACATCTTTATTTGCTAGACGAAGAGCAGTGTCCAATATAAATTCCCCAAACACTTAAGACCTGTGAATTTCTGACCAGTTCACAAAACCACCAACTGACACTTGCGTGTGAAGAAAAATCAGACCTAAGACTCAGCTATCAAGACAGACAGAGCAGAAACCTCCGAAGCGAGACAAGCCGTCTTCCTGGGAAAATGAAAAATATATCTCGTATAATACAGTAACAAAAATTCACAAGATTATGTTTGACATACTTAACAAGCATTCTCTATTTTTCTCCAACAAACAAAGCTAAGGAAATAATGTAACCATCTTTACACAGTAAATTAAGGTTACAAGTCATACACAAGAACAGAACTGCTTGCGCATTAAAAACTGTTCAGCTCCATTGTCATACTCTAAATGTTGGCTCTTAAACCATTTTCGGTTACATACAAGCAAAGGTTATTATATATTCAGCAATTAATAAATTTTCAATAATTTACGATATGGTAGCTTAGAAAAGTAGGCTGAGAATGGTCTTGATAAGGCAGGTGAGACGTCTTTGTGGAACGCAACTCCCAGAAGCTTCTGCCATTGTTCCCAAACACCCAGACTGGAACAGAAGGGCTTGGATTGAACGTTCTGTGGGCGTCGTACTTCACCTTCCAGCTGCTCAAACAGAGCACGTCAGGTAAGCTGTGTGCTCGCGCTGAAGGTCGGGTGGTTAAAACCAATGGAGACTTGCAAGGGTAACACTGTGCTTTTGTTTTGGCTTTATGACTGCTTACTGTGCTACCGAATACCAGGTATTTCTGACCCTTTAATGTATACCTTTCTAATCTACGCTAGTGTCTGTACACACTGCCCACCCGTGGGGCAAACGGCAAATGCAGGAGGTTCCACGAATTCCGTCTCCAGAGCACATGTCTGAGGGATCTCAATGTCAGACATCAAGTGCCCACCACCCCGGGCTCAGCAGCCTGCAGTGCAGGGGCCAGGACACGGGCCCGGCAGGCTCCTGTCACTTGCAGTTCCACCAAAACGGCCACGTCATCCCACGGTCCTCACACACCCTCCATCCGTCACCTCCCGTTCTCTGCTCATCACGGAGGCAAAGCCAAAACACCACAACACTGGCCATCGTTAATTAGCAGCCGAGTAGCTGGTTCCTCAGCTTTCCCCACTAATCTAGGAGTCCAATCACTTTACCGGAGACTAATTCTGAAAAGTCACACAGTGTTTCTGAAATGCACACCAACACTTTATGGTTCGGAAAGCAGTGCAACCCACGAGTTTGGTGACATCTAATTTTTCTTATTAAAAAGGTAATTTTCAAACTTAGCAATTCCTTAAATCTCTGGAAAATAAATATGGCTGACTAATTTACCCTCCCTGAGACCCTTAATAAAAGGAATATTAAAACTTTAGAAGGAATGTCTTTGCAATATCCCACGAATATTAAATTGTGGATTTAAAATTCATAGTCAAATCACTATGTATTATATATTCTGATACTTACAGAAAGCATTTGATTTCCTTTGGTTCATTAATAAATACTTGAAAAAGGTATCTAAAAAGGTAAGCACAGCTCGCATCCCAGATGCAAGCATCATTGTGAAGAGGGGACATGTCCGAGCGTTGGCGAGCAGGACCACAGCCCCGCGGCACTGCGTTGGACCCTGTGCTTGGAGAGCAGACTGAGCTCGTGCGCAGGAGTGACGGAGACCTGATGGCAGGGGAAAGGAGCGGCTGTTCACGTCTCCGTGTCCCTCAGGCCTCCAGACAGAGTGACTTCTATTCTTCAGCATACCAGGCTTCTCACCCCCCGGGGCTCCCTCACAGCCAGCTGCCCTCCCAGGCACCCCCAGGTATGACCAATAAAGGAAGGCGGCGCCGAGTCCCGACAGGACTGGAGTCCGGGCTCTGGACGCCCGTTGGGAGTTACACAGAAGAGACATTAATCTGAATGACAAAACAACGCTGTGAAACGCTGGGGCGGGAACCTCAGTGGCCTTCGTTGTCGTCGCCGCCCCCTCCTCTACGGTAAAAACCGGGTGAGAAGAAACTTCACAGCAGAGCTTACTGTTACCCGCAGACCCAGGAAGGAGCCCAGGCTCCCACAGTGCTCTTCCCAGCAGGGGTGAGCCCGCAGGTCCGCAGGACAAGGAAGAAAACAATTCCCACCACTGAAACCACTGCATAAGGAGCACGTGGGGGGAAGGAGGGCAGGAGGCAAACCAACTTCAATGACAAAACCACCAGGGAAGGCCTGGGATTGGCTTCTTGTATGGACCAAAAATGCAGTTTACTCAGGTTTAATCCTAGAACTAAGCGACAATTCATAGTGTGACCTCAGCCCCAGCAGAGGCTGGGAGCGGGGGATGGTGGACAGAACGCCGTTTTCGCGGGCGCCACGTGAGACAGCACTGCCACCGCAGTCCGCCCTCGGCACGGCGCTCCGGGCGCTGCTGCGGTACAGGGCCCGGCCAGCACTGCGAGCAGTCCGGAAGGGAGACCACACCGCTGAACGGCCTGCTTTCCTATCAGCCATACTCTCCACACATGCCACACTGCCTGTGGGCCGGAGCACAGCTCCTGTAAGACCGGCTTTAATGCAATGTCAGCTCTTCGTAGAAGGGACGGTCCCGGGTCTGTAACTGTTCTAGGTTGTACTCACTTCACAGTGTATCAAGCACCAGCGTTGCCATGGATTGGTTTCAAATAACCCTTTATATATAATTTTATATTTATATATAGTTATATCAAAACTGATAGTACATAGTATAACTGGAAGAAAGAAATAAACTTAGAAGGATATGCTGAGAGGATGGAGCTTGTGAACATAATAAATAAAAGTTCCCTCCCCCTCCCAGGCCACCCCCCAACAAAACAAAAACAAAAACCAGTTGTAATGTACATGGAAAATTGTGCACAGCAGATTTTTTTTTATATATAAAAAGTAGATTCAGGAGCACATCCAATTATAAATGATTGTTAGGAAAATCATATAAAACAATGGAATACATAAAAGTGTCAAGAGTAATCGTCAGGGTGCGAAATTCCTTGGTGGCCAAACGCCCATGGCAAGCAGACACGATCCTGGCAGCATCGCGATAGGCCGATGTCCACAGAAGGTTCTCCAGGCGCACGCAGCACGGGCAGGTGGAGGTGTGAATTTCAGACCCTGATTCATAGTTTCCACGACTCCATGTGCAATTTCAGAAAGACTCGTCGTTCACTGCGGACAGGTCGCCCTTGGGCGTGGAGGAGCGGGAGGAGCCCTTGTCTGTGCTCTCCGAGCCCGAGCTGCTCTGGTGCTGCTGTTCGGAGCCTGCGCTGGAGGTCACTGTGGAGGAGGACGTGGAGGAGGAGCGAGTCTTTTCCTTAAAGTCTGTGATGATGACGGTCACGTTACCCACAGTCACTGCCAGCTGCTGCGCGGTGCTCCTGTCCACGTTTTTCAGCCGGGGCCTGAAAGCACCACCAAGGGGACAGTTACATAAGCTACGGATCAGAAGCGGTTCTGGCAGACATCAACACACAGATTTCATGACACCCACCACATGCCACAGCTGACCATAAAACCTGCAGCTTGCCCTCAGCAGTCCCAGAAACCACCGCCGTTAGCAAAGCTCTGGGCCTTTCCAATATGATCAATGCATCTGTCTCCCGTTTGGCCACAGTGGTATAAAGCAGCGCGCGCGCACGCAGCTGACAGTCTCAGACCTAGTTCTCCCCTACCCCTCAGCCTATAAACCCACAGGCACAAAGCCGTCTGGGTCCGGAGGAGGACTCAGTGCACCAGAGCAGCACTGAGCTCTGCGTTCTAGTTTCCGTACCTGGAGGTGTGGTTTGACTCGCTGGTCTTGGTTGTAGCATTTGCAGACTGTATGCTGTTTGCTTCACTCGGGGGGTCTTTCAGGACATCGGACTTTGGTCTAAAGGGACGGGGGACCAAGAGAGACATTTAAAAGATATCTCTGATTCACCTGCAAAACAACATATCATGCCGAGTTACCCAGGAACTTACTTTGTTTTCTTGTTAGTATTTTTCTTGGTAACACTGGGACTAATCTCTTTATCTTTCTCGGGTTTCTCTTTGTCTTGCTTTTCAACTTTCTCCTTCTTCTCCTTCTTTGGGGGTGGTGGGGTGGCATACTGCTGTGCCACCTGCTGCGCCACCAGCTGAGAATTGATTCGAGGTTTTCTAAAACATTCAAGGAAAGACACACCATTACTTGCTTTATAAATGCCAGTCTTTACTTTGGTCTTCCAATTTCTTAGATATTTACACTGGTGTCTGGCATCTCAGAACTCAACTGGATGGCGCTATCTCTACATTACTGCTGCCCTAGCATGGAGGAGTCTCTTTCCAACTCACTTCTTGCGCATCTACCTTAAGGGCACGTGCGGGTGCTCACACGGGCAGTGAAGTGCCTCTCAGCCATGAGGGCACTGCGCTGGCTCGGAGCGCGGAGAGCGCGCTACTTCTTCTGAGCTGTCAGGATGACACAGATGCCCCCCACCCCCTGCAGAGGGTTCGCCTCTCTCCATTACATGGACACTGGTAACCCCTGAGAAGGGGATAAAATCATAAGTGTGACATCTCCCCGCCACGATCCCGACGTGGTCTGCTCCCTGCAGCTCGGGACAACAGACAACATAGAGCAAGAAAGGGGGTGGAGACGAAGTCACTATAAAAACCTTTAGATGACACGTCCATTGTGAGAGCAACCGTCTCGTCCTCCCCACCTGCGGCTGACGCTAGCTCTCAGCACGGTTTGCCAATGGTTGTCACTCTGCACGACCCTGCAGGCCACGTGGAGGCAGCAGAAAGGAAGCCGCACAGCGCTCCTCTCCACAGACATTCCGGCACAAGGCAGGGAACCAGAAACCGGATCCGCTCTAGAGGGGAAATGACTAGCTGCCACCACTAATGATGCCCTCAGACTACAGCTCCCTCTGCTCCCCAGGATGGAGGGCTGGACAGAGAAAAGCAAACCAAAACGAGTTTGCTGGACCCATGGCTGCCCGCGCTAGGCACGGTCCGCTCCGAGGGGCCAGCACTCATGGCATGTGCCTTCGCCAGAAACATGCCAACAGAGGCATGCTCAGAGCCAGTTCCTGGGGCTCCGGCTGCACAGGCATTGGTACCATGGAAGCCAGTCAGGGACACCTCAGACTGGGCCACAGAGGTCACTGGGCCAGGGCTTCAAACACAGGTGGGAGCCCCCTTAGAAAGGGAGGCAGGGGATCCCCCTAAGCCACGCCCCCAGCAGGAGCCTCCTCCATCTCAGGCTCTAACGAGGCAGCCGTAGCCATCCACAGCGGTGTGGTACGGGCACCCTCACAAAGAAGGTCATGCATCGCAGACGCTAGCTGGGGACACAGCAGCTCGCTGTCCACAGGGATCACCAATCATGCCTGTCAGCGTGCCATCCACACCAGCCAGACTCGGCCGGGGTGAACCTGGGAACAGGCCATTAGGACTCACAAGAGCTGCACCTCGAGGAGAACCTCCACTCCGCCAGTCTGTGCGGTGCTCCAGGGGAGTCTCACCGAGAACAAGAGGATGTCTGCACGCCGGCCCAGGAGTATCTCAACAGAGCCACCAGGAGCCTGGCCACTCCAGGACGACTACCACGGGCACTGTGACTGCCAATCAACTGTACACCCCTCAGTGGCAAAACTGCACCCTAATCATCTCCGTTAGTGAAATGATCTACTGGGTAAACAGCGAATAAACACACCTTGCAGAGAAAACAAAGCAGAGTGAGGACTGAGAGGGCCTGGGCTCCAGAGGTGCCAGGGAGTCACTGCTGCCTTTAGAGCAGGCCCAGGGGAGCAGGCTGCAGAACCAGGGCCTCGGGGACCACCGGGTACCTCAGAGCCTTCTTTGAGAACCTCCTAGACAGAAGGGTGAGCAGGTTGGAGATTTCTGCAGGAAAGGGAGACACCGTGTGTTGTGCGCTCGAAGAGGAAGGAAGACCGACGGCCACCGAGTTAGGAGTGAACTCGGGACGGAGGAGAGAAAGCACACACTCACGAAGGCTGGGGAGAAGGGGGACACTTCCTCTGACACGGGAGAGGGATACTAGGTAAGGGGCTGAGCAGAACATGGAAATGAAAAGGCAGAGAAGGTTCAGAAACCACAAGCATAGGCACAGCGCTGTCTGGTGGGCAGCAGGCAGAGCAGCAGCCGAGAGAGCTGGTGGCGAGCAGAGGAGGGATTCCGCATCTCACACAGGGCCCGAGTGGCCCGAGCGCGGTGTGCTTTAGGGACACTCTGAGCTCCCCACAAGCTTACCCAGGATGGGCCGTCCCCTCCTCTGGCTCTCCACTCGGCTACGGGCATCCTGGACACCATGTCTGCCATGGGCAATCCTCTAGCATGTCGGCAAATACCCCCCAAAGTTCTTCAGCCTACACCACAGTCCAGGATCGGCAGCGCAAACTTACCGTGCACCAGGTGAGATGGGCTACACCCTTCACAGGCAGCACGCGTGCCCGCGTGCTCCTAAGATCATGACTAGAATGGAGGACAGTCCAGTGCCCCACTCCTCTAATGCTCAGCCAAGGCTCTCTGGGATCTACCCGTTAACAAGAAACTAGAGGCCCGGTGCACAGACTTGTGCACATTGAAAGGAAATTATCTAGAAGGTGGTGGTGGTGTGTGTGTTTGGAGGGGAGGGGGCGCACGGGGCAGGGCAGGATTGGGTGAGACGGGCCGGACACACCTGAGCCAACTTCCCAGGTCCCTCTCCGGTTGGCCTCACCTGGGGCGGTGCTGGGGCTCAAAGGGTATCTGCGGAATGAGTGGGGTCCCTCAACCTGGCCTGTGAGGATGGGGCCAAAACCAGCAGTCTAACATCCCCCCAGGGATTCCAGAGTGCAAAAGGGCACTCTGCAAAGCTGCTGTCGTGTGGCAGCTCCTGTGTTGAACAGATGCCCACTGGTGGTCAGTGTGTGTTCATAGCTACCGGCTGGACATCCGGTCGCTTCAGCTTTTATATATATATATGTTATTATAGCTGCTATTTCAAGTGAATTCTCCTAGGACCTAGGGATGTGGGTGAGGTAGAAAAATACACCCGACACGTTTGGAAAAGGCCCACAATGCTTCTGAATAAAGAGCTACTAGCACTTCCTGGCTCAAAAAGCAGCACAGCCCCTTGGAAGAGGAAAGGGAGGAGACCCCTTGCTCTTGCAATGAAGGTGCTACGTACCCCAATGCTCCAGCAGCTTTTGCCATGTGCTCCTCCGTGTTTCTAGGCTAATGTGCTCTGACTGCTTGTGACAGAATGGAAAAGGCCAGCCCCCAGGAACAGAGCTGCACACACTTCGCTCCTGCACAGCCCAAACCAGCTAGCTTCCAGGTCAGGCATTCCCAGCGGCGCCTGAAGTCAAAGAGGTGATGGTCCAGGAAGCCCCGACAGCCACCGCCCAGCTGGATGGCCAACAGCCTCCAGAGGAGGAAGTCACTTCCCCTTCCACAAGGAAGACAAAACGATTAAGAAACGTAGCTAAGGGTTAGGTAAGCAGCTGAGCTGGGATTTTTAACCCAAATCCATCTGTAATTCTCATGGGTTCCTCTTACAAAGGAACTGCAAATGAGCCTCTCTACTTTGGAAGAGCCCAGACTTGTTTTTAGGTGTGTGTGTGTGTGTGGGGGGGGGGGGGGGGGGGGGGGAGAAGGGAGTGCCCCAGAAGAAGGTACTAGGATGAAAAGCCCAGGTCAACCCCAGGCTATGGTTCAGACACCTCCCGAGAGTCCCACTGTCCTCCTTGTCTGACAAGAGACCACTGGGTGTCCTCCAGAGAAGGGAAAAGGGGCAGAAGAAGCTGGCAAGAATGTCTCCCCTGTCTGTAAGGAATGAACCCCCATCAGATGGTGAACAATGCTGACCCCGACAGAGTCCTTCCCACAGATCAGCTGCTCAGGGAAGTCTTCCCGAGTCACACCACAAACGCCAGCAGCTCGTCTGACGGGCAGAACTTCCAACGTGCTGTAAGAGTGCCAATGCTCCAGTGTGGGTCTCCACAATGACCCAGGTTTCCCAACTAACAAACCTTAAATAAGCCATTAACAGCCGCCATGACAGAACGGAAAACATGAGATGTGTGTCCCAGACTCTGACAGGAGGGAGATATTAAGATGAATTTCACTAAGTAGCAATATTAAATCATTTCCTCTAATTAATTCCCTTTTAATGTGCATGAATTTTGTGCACCAGGCTACTAGTAGTCAATAATATTGTAATAACTACATATACTGTCAGGTGGATCACTTTATAAGTTATATAAGTATCTAATCGCTATGTTGTACACCAGAAACTAATATAATATTGTACGTCAACTGGGAAAATATGCCTTCTTAAAATTATTTTATAAGACCTATTTTTATTTCAATAGAGTTTACAAGAGAAAAATCTATTGTGAAATTGCAATAAACAGTCATTATCAGGAAAGCATCTATTTGCATTTAAACAGCTAATATTTCAGAAAAGTCTATTCCATAATAGGTGAAGTAAATCTTTATCTAGAGACATTAATTTGAAAAGGCAAAATTTCAGAGTTCAAGCATATATGAGTGAGATCACAAAACAAGATACCTTTCAGGGTAGTTTTGCTATGTGTACCTGTGTCACTGGGGAACATAGGCAAATCCTGCCTTTTAAAGAGACAGGTCTACTGAATACCTTTTCCTTTCCCTCCTGGGCACTCAGGGAACCTGAGATCTTGCCACTCGTTTGTCATTGTGATTCTCAGAGACCACAACAAGCAACAGGCACACAAGTCCTGTGGCACACATATCCTGGCCTTTCCGCGTGTTCAGCTCTTCCTAAAGTAGGGGTGTCGAACTCAATCAGAGAAGGGGCCAAAATCTAAAATCTAGCCTAAATCGCGGGCCGAATGGTTTACTGAACAGTCATAAACTGTCATTGTGATGGAAACGCAGCGGAGTGCAGTGATGACAGTGTGGTGCGGGCCACATTGCAAGGCCTGGCGGGACGGATTTGGCCCGCGGGCCTTGTGTTTGACACGTGTCCTAAAGGATCACTTGGCCTTTTTCACTTAAAATACACGAAAGGCACTAAAATCAGACAAATCACCCATCAAGGAGGGGGGGCCCTAACTGGTTTGGACTGAAAGGTCCCAGGTTCGATTCCGGTCAAGGGCATGTACCTTGGTTGCACACACATCCCT